AGATATAAATATAAAAAAAAGAAATTAAATAATAGCAATAGATTGCAAAAAAGGTGTAATAGTATTAATACTATTATGGTTGCGCGACCAAGATGAGTGAATAATAGGTGAGATTCAAACGGGGCATTGCACAAAAAAGCTTTCTGGAGCATAAATATTAACCTATTATGATACCCGAGCTCAAACTGATAATCTGTTGATAAGTTTGGTTGGTTTTTTTTGAAATGATCGATTTTTGAGGAATGAATTTATCAGGGAAAATGTTAAATATATAATTAATATATTATAATCATTAATGGCGCAACGATCCTAGATGAATCTTGGTTTCCTTTAGTAATTGGCATCATATATCCGTATTGTTTTCTATAGTTCTTCAATTTTTTTTTTCCAAGCAATTCTTAAATAATTCATATTAAAGGAAGCGGAAAAGAAACAATAACTATACAGTATAGACTAGACAAGAATAATTATAGAATTTAAAAGAATGTGGTTAAATTTTATTTAAGATTTAAAAATAGAGTATTATATTTTGTCATATATTATATTATACTAGAAAAAAATAGATAATAAAAATCCATAAGAAATATGTGGTGTACAATTATTTAATAACTCCGAAAAAAATACCACAGTAAGAAAGAGCAAATTACTAATGAAGATTTTGGGTTATAGCGTATAAATATTTATTAGTTCCGAAAAAACTACTAAATGGATAGAAAAGTACTTATATTGATTTTAGAGTATATATATAATATATAGAGTATATATAATGGAAAGAAGTAAAATTACTAGTACAGATTTTGGAATATACAATTGTTTATAATGTTCGAAAAAACACCACAGAAGCGAATATAAAATTACTAAGAAATATTTTGGGATATATAATTATTTATTAATTCCGAAAATAGGGAAGGATAGAAAATTGCTGATGAAGTATTATTTATTTATTCTAATACATATTCTATCTGATATGATGTCTGATAGAAAATTACTGATAAAGATAATTGGGTATGTTAAATGTTTTAAATTACCATAAGTATTATTAGGAATATTAGGAACTCGTTTGATGAAGGCAAAAGCTAATTTGCCGATATACGTATCGGAATATAAAAAAAATACGATCGAAATAAAAGTTAAAATCGACTTCACCATAAGAATGTATAGCAAATAATTAATATATATTTTAAAACACAATATTGTTTATTTATTCTGTAATTTTTACATAAAGTCAAATCAAGAATTTTTGATATATAATAACTTACCATCCAAACATTTTACTCTTCTCATGTAAACTGAATTTTCTCGTTCTTTTAGACTACGTGGACCCATGGAAATCAAATCTTCAGAATGTAATAGGCATTCGGTGTTGGTTAAATCTTTTTCGTAATAAAATGATACCCCTTGACAGTAGAAGCTTGTCTCCTGCGTACAACGGGATTGACACTATAAAAATATGATAATATTTAATTTCAAATAATTGTGTTTATTTTTTTTTTTATTAGATTAACAATAGTTTTTGTCATTTTTTCAAATCAAATTTAATTCAAATTGTATTCTTTCCACACCTCTTTTTGGTCAAGCCCCATCAGTTTAGCTTCCGCATAAATGAAGCTGCTGTTCGCATATAATTCATATGAGCACTGATCATTTTCCATTTCACGTTCATAGCATTGATTTTCGATGTACTCCTCATCATAGGGTGCAGCCCGGAATGCGTCTGGCTGTATCATTTTATCTTTGTCACTGAGTATGCAGCGGCCTAATGTGATGTGTTTTTGTGGTTGATCTTGTTGAAAAGATCTAAACAACATGGAACAAAAACATGAATATATTAGATTATGTTTACATGACAAGATTAAAGATATAAAATAACAATGAAATGAGCTATCAAGATACTAAGGAATTAAAAAGTTTTGTATAAAAATAAATTAATATCGACGAAAATGTTGAAAAAATCATATAGAGAGATTTGGTTAAAAATATTTAAAAACAAATAAAATTTTTTTAATTATTTATAATGCATTTTTATATTGAATAATAGTTATATTATATCATAAAATATAGTTTAATTTTTTTTTATTACATAAAATGATTTTTGATGCCTCTTTAAACCTCTTAATTAAGTTCAAGTAATTTGGGTTGAGAAGGTTGGGTTTGCAGTTAACAAATATACAGTTTAAATGAGGTAATCAAAATGTTTAAAAAAATTGCATTTCTATTTTTTATTTCACTAATAATTATTTAAATAATAAAAAATGATATCATGCAAATTAAGTTGAAAGTAAAAGCAGAGAAGCAATAAAAAATGTGAAAAACACACTTCACGGCGTTTCCACAAAAATGCGCAATTACTAAATGAAAAGGTTTTTTTTTTTAATGACATTCCCATACATATAGATTAATATATTTACATATATGTATATAAAATATGAAATATTAAATACCTATCACGATTATTTCTGTATGAAGGCGCAAACGATGCAGATAGACAATTGAAATCTGTTTCGAAGAGACAATTTTCCGCACATTCACGCCTCGTTACCAAGGTGGGTATTGTCTTCTTTCCCTGAAATATTAAACTGGTACCAGGAATCTTTGTCAAGGTCCACAAACGACTTTTGCATGTATCCGGCACTATAAAAAAATATAAATATTTTTATTGAATTTATATCTACATATATAACTACAAAATATAAATACAAAAATATTTTTTTTTAAACCTTTAAGGCAAGTTTTTTCATAGAAAATTGCTTCTGCATCAGCCACTAGAGGTAAATCATTGCCGATTGCTTGATAATGTGAAGTTCTTTCAAAATACGAGTATCCATAACATTCGTCTGTATCCAGCAAATGTACATAGGCTATACAACTTTCATCCTTATTACAGATTCGCCAGCAAATTGAACTTACAGGTTCCTGAAAGTCTCTTTTGGATGAGTTATCTATATGTGCGTAACTAAACCTTGGTGAATATATCAGATTTTCCTTATTTATAAATTCTAGTGGTGGACGGAAACCAACAATTTTTTGTAAATGCATTTGATAGAGAGGACATTGTAGAAACAAGGCAGCTGAAAACAAAAGAACCAATATTGGGTAAATTAGTATTGACATTTTTTTTTTAAATATAATTATATAAATAAAATAACACAATAAGTTAATTGTCACTGGATCGAGAACTACTCTCCTCTTCTGACATTAGGAGATTCTCAACGGCCTACATTCTGGCTTTCATTTGAAAGACGGAATGTCTTCTGTTCGGTTAGGATCTGCTGCAGCACAAAAGATCAAAAGATAAACGTAAAATAAATAAAAAAATCGGACCATTGATGTATTGCATTAAAAAATCGCAAAGAAAGGGTATGGGCCATAACCGAACCAAATCTAACATATTCGCGGTTTACTGCGTTGGTTTTTAATAACTTAAACTACGTATACCAAAAATCTTAATATTTATTTTTTTTTAAATATTAAAAATTTTAAGACATCACAAACCAGGGCACAAAGTAGTAAGATCATAACGATGGTAAAAGTACAATAGGCTATATATATATATATAATACAGAGTATATTTTGCCTGACACTATGCTACGACTTGAAAACATGTATATCAACAAAAGCTCATGAGTATAATTTTAAGACATTTCTTACGAATTATTTTGGTTTAATATAAGAGAAAAATAGACAATACAGTACCTATTTTATAGAGCAACAAAATCGAGAATATATGTGACAATGAAATGTGAATAAGTGGTTTTACCTGATGTTTAAAGGGCAATACTCAAGTTAATCTTTTTCCTCAGAATGTACTTAATAAACATAACTTTTTCTAATAAAATACTTTTTACTAAAATAAAAAAAATACTTTTTAAATACTTTAAAAATACTTTTTACTTTTTTTACTTTTACTAGAAAGTCTAAGGTGTGGGGCCTGATGTGTAACATTGGAAATATTACTCGTATGCTTAGTATCAAAGAAAGAGTGAATTTCGTCTGGAGAGAGTCGGGATGTGACATAATAAATTTTCTGTCATCTCCGCAATGCTCTTATCCTAGCTACTCATACAAAAACCCCTACTGGAGGCACCAATGTTATCGCTGGTGTACTTATTAAACAATGCCCTATAAATACGGATATAAGCAGATTACTTGTTAAATTAAGCAGAGTATTACTTATGCCATACTTGGGTAGCTCATCAAACCTAGAGCTTGTCGAGATGGTAGTGTGACTTAGAACCCAGATTAAATAAATGTTGTTTGCTGCACTTACATAATTAAGAAATCAACGGCAACACAATACTCTCTCGATCTTGTTCACATTTTCGATTGTATTGATCGCAGCTTTAATATTCGAAAAAGTATTGATACCGGTATATAATATCAAATCATACTTTACTATTTTAGCTACATCACGGATGGCTCTTACTTGGGCATGAAAAACAATACGGTACTCTGCAGATTGGACCTAATTGACGAGAATACACTATACATCTTCCAGATTTAGTTCCTAGTTTTGAGAGTTCTACTTAGATCGACTTACTTCTATTCAGTGGTAGAGAGTCCCATTGGAATATTAGAACAGAGATTAGAATTATGTCTGCATTAC